TCACTTTTACCATGAGATGCGGGAAGCCAATTTGCTGGTGATGCTGGGGATGTTGGCTGGACATGCGGGGGATGTTGAAAACGATGCTGATGATGTTGACGGACTAGCGTAAAATACGTACATTTCGCGAGAAAATGCTGTAAATTAAAGCATTTTAGTAGCCAGGACGGAAAACAAAAAATCCCAAAATAAAACAAAAAATCCCAAATTAAATCTCGACCCGTTTTTCATTCACACAAAGCGGAGTCCTGCAAATACCAATGGATTGCCCGCTCCCCACTGGAGGCGCTAGGATGGCGCTTGGTTTGCGCTAGGGTCTTCGGTGATCTTGGTTTCCAAGAGTTGGCGCGTGGGTTGCCGCGATGGGCTTTGCGTGGCTTTCAAGGGTGTAATGTTGCAGTTCTTACTTAGTACTTGAAGCCAGCCCGCACGTTTACCTTCATCTTACGTGGCCTTAATTTGTCAAATCCACACAGATGGTCGCCGTGACTCCAAAAAATACGGCGAACCCGCGCTAGCCGCGCGCTAGCAAGGCGCTAGCGCAGTGGTCAGCTGTGACCGGTTCCCAGTTACGCTTCAATCCAAATTTGCTTCCGCTCTCCTCGCATGCAATTATCATGGAGTGCGATTTGCTGGACAAAGGGGAGAAACAACGGCTGAGGCAAGACGGCAGGGATGCCTTGTACCGAGCATACGGAAGAATTGGGTTGCGTATTTCCCTGCGAAAGCAAATGCTTTACTGAATCGATACGAAGAGTTGCCACAATACGATCAAAGCACTTTAGCAATCGATACGAAAGACACTGTGCAGCTAAGCGAGAAAGAAGCGCAATGCGCCGGAAAGCTTTTGCTAAGCTGAAGCCTGTAACTGCTGGAGACGCATCCGATACTGATAGTACTAGCAGTAGTAGCAGCAGCAGCAGCAGCAGGCTCGCGCGCTAGCAATGTGTTGCAAAAAAGCTAGATTGATCGTACACGAACACTATTTTCCTACTTGGAACACGCATATAAAACACAAGCGTTGTTCAAGGCAGAGCCCCATGGAATAGCGCCTCACAGCCGGCTTCGGGAACTTGATTTATGTGTCGCCCAGGCGTGCAGGAAATGTAAATTCCATGTGAACACATTTTTGTTGTCCAGGTGAACGCATGTGTGTTGCACATTTGTGTTGCACATGTTTCTCCACATGTGCACACACGTGTGTTCCATGTGTACACATATGTGTGTTACAAGTCAACACAGAAGTTTGTTCTGGTTAAACATGCTTGTGTGATCCAGGTCTGCACCAGTGTCGCACGTGAACACAAATGCCTGTTCCAAGTGAGCGCATATATGGGTTCCAGGTGAACACATATGTGTGTTGCAGGTGAACAGAAATGTGCTTTCCAGACATACACACATATGTGTTCCAGGTGTACGCATGTGTGTGTGTGCGTGTTCCGGGCGCGCATATATATATATATGTATGTGTGTGTGTGTTCGCGTGTGCACATATGTGTGTTCCACATGTACACATATGTGCGTTCACGTGCGCACATATGCGTGTTGCACGTGTACACATATGTGTGTTCACGTGTACACACATGTGTGTTCTTATCAGACACGTGTATGTGTTCCAGGAGAACACATGTTTGTTATCAGATGAACACGTGCGTGTGTGTCTGCTCCGCGTGCACTTTTTTTGTATGTGTGTTCACGTGCACACATTGTGTGTTCACGCGTGCGCACATGTGCGTTCCAACTGGACACGTGTTTGTGTTCCAGGAGGACACATGTTTGTTATCAGATGAACACGTGTGTGTGTGTGTCTGCTCCGCATGCGCATGTGTGTGTGTTCATTTGCACACATATGTGTGTTCCACGTGCACACATTTGTGTGTTCACGTGTCCACACATGTGTGTTCCAATTGGACACGTGTTTGTGTTTCAGGTGAATACATGTTTGTTTTCAGATGAACGCACGTGTGTGTGTGTGTTCCGGGTGCGCATATATATGTGTGTGTGTTCACGTGTACACATATGTGTGTTCACGTGTACACACGTCTGTGTTCCAATTAGACACACGGTTGTGTTCCAGGAGAACACGTGTTTGTTATCAGATGAACACTCGTGTGTGTCTGTGTTTTCCGCGCGCGCATAAATGTGTGTGTTCACATGTGCAGTACACATGTGTGTGTTCCACGTGTGCTGTGTTCACGTGTACACATATGTGTGTTCACGTGTACACACGTCTGTGTTCCAATTAGACACACGGTTGTGTTCCAGGAGAACACGTGTTTGTTATCAGATGAACACTCGTGTGTGTCTGTGTTTTCCGCGCGCGCATAAATGTGTGTGTTCACATGTGCAGTACACATGTGTGTGTTGCACGTGTGCACATGTGTGTGTTCACGTGTGCGCATTTGCGTCTCCCACGTGTACACATATGTGTGTTCACGTGTACACACATGTGTGTTCCAATGGACACGTGTTTGTGTTCCAGGTGAACACATGTTTGTTTTCAGATGAACACTCGTGTGTGTGTGTGTTCCGGGTGCGCGTATATATGTGTGTGTTCACGTGTACACATATGTGTGTTCACGTGTACACACGTCTGTGTTCCAATTAGACACACGGTTGTGTTCCAGGAGAACACATGTTTGTTATCAGATGAACACGTGCGTGTGTGTCTGCTCCGCGTGCACTTTTTTGTATGTGTGTTCACGGCACACATTGTGTGTTCGCGTGTGCACACATGTGCGTTCCAACTGGACACGTGTTTGTGTTCCAGGAGGACACATGTTTGTTATCAGATGAACGCGTGTGTGTGTGTGTGTCTGCTCCGCGTGCGCATGTATGTGTGTTCATTTGCACACATATGTGTGTTCCACATGTACACATTTGTGAGTTCATGTGTCCACACATGTTTGTTCCAATTGGACACGTGTTTGTGTTTCAGGTGAATACATGTTTGTTTTCAGATGAACGCACGTGTGTGTGTGTGTTCCGGGTGCGCATATATATATATATAATATGTGTGTGTGTTCACGTGTACACATATGTGTGTTCACGTGTACACACGGTTGTGTTCCAATTAGACACACGGTTGTGTTCCAGGAGACCACGTGTTTGTTATCAGATGAACACTCGTGTGTGTCTGTGTTTTCCGCGCGCGCATAAATGTGTGTGTTCACATGTGCAGTACACATGTGTGTGTTCCACGTGTGCACATGTGTGTGTGTGCTCACGTGTGCGCATTTGCGTCTCCCACGTGTACACATATGTGTGTTCACGTGTACACACATGCGTGTTCCAATTGGACACGTGTTTGTGTTCCAGGAGAACACATGGTTGTTATCAGATGAGCACACGGGTGTGTGTTCCGGGTGCACATATATGTGAGTGTTCACGTGTGCACATATGCGTGTTCACGTGTGCACATATGTGTGTTCCACGTGTACGCACATGTGTGTTCCAATTGGACACGTGTTTGTGTTCCAGGTGAACAGATGTGTGTTTCACGTGAACACATTAGTATGTGCTAGATGAACTTTTTTTGGCATCTGACGACATATTTGCTCTCCAGGTGTGCACATGTATGCGCTCCAGAAAACGCATGATTGTTTTCGAGGTGCGCGCATGTGTGTGCGATTTAGGTGAGCATTTATGTTTGCTCACGTGTGCGCATATGTGTGTTCCACATGTACACACATGTGTGCTTTAATCGCACACGCGGTGTTCCAGGTGGACACATGTTTGTGTTCCAGTGGTATACATATGTGTGTCCCACGCGTACACACATGTGTGCTTTAATTGCGCGTCTTTGTGTTCCAGGTGAACGCATGTGTGTTCCACGTGTACACACATGTGTGTCTGAATTGGACACGCGTTTCATTGTGTTCCAAGTGAACACACATGTGTGTTCCACGTGAACGCATTAGCGTGTCGTAAGTGAACACATATGTGCGTTCCACGTTTGCACATGTGTGTGTGTGCTTTCCAAGAAGCACATGTTTGTTTTCCAGCTCAACACATTTATGCGTGTGCCGCAGGTGAATGTATACTGTTTCAGTCGTATACGTATGTGTGTTCCACGTGTACACACATGTGTGTCTGAATTGGACATGTGTGTTTGAACTGCCCATGTGACTGCGTGCTTGCGCGGCCACACTTGCGTTCACGCGCGCGCGCTCGCCCGCCATCGCGCGCGCTTGCCCAACCTCAGTTCTGGCGCGGTGCTGAAGCGCGAAGCATGCCAGCAACACACGTGCAGCAACGCAACGCGCGCCAGGTTCACGACTGCATCATTTTGATTCATCCGTGTTGAAGCGCAGAAAGCCACAAGCTGTTGGCATGTTTGTGCTCGCCCGTCAGCCCTCAACTGTTTGGGGTCTCTGCTGGTGTAATTTTTTTCTGGAAGCAAGAGCATGCTTCTCAACCCAAAAAATAACACAAATGCAGTACTTTCATTCCCCTAGTTCTATTTTATTGCCCTGATAGGGTAAGGAGTGATCACTACATGCAGGGCAGTTTGTAACATAGTTTCGTAGAACTAGACAACACTTAGAATCAGTGTGCACTGCGGAGCACCATTGGTTTGATTCCTTTTCTTGCAAGAGGCCTTTCTTTTGTGGTCCCCCTTCAAAGTGTTGCGTTGCAATGTTTGCAGATCTTGCGTGCGTGATAGTTGCATCTCACAGGATCTGCATTGCACGATTGTACTGACCCGTCAGTGTTGGGGTCTAGATTGGATTAACATTGCCATTTGGCCACTTATTCTTTTCCTTCGCCGTCCTCATATACGATGGAAAGACTAGACCTCGACAGAGTAGACTTGTTGCTGTTGACAGATGGTGTATGCATGAAACAAAGGATGTCTTCCGCACTTACACCTTTAGGCTGTGACTTGGACGGGCAGAATGATCACCCGCCAACCTTCAAACCTCAATAGCTACAGGCCGGTTGTAGGGATGGCCTGTGATGCAAAGCGCACGGTGCTGGTGGGTGAGCACGCGATTCAGGAGATCCGCCGCAACAGTGGCTCCGAGGCACGAAGCGTCTTCGGGGTGCGAGAACAGATGGGATCAAACTTGCTGTTTTGGAAAGGGTCATACTTTGCGGGTTCATGGGAAATACAGGAAGTCAGGAGGTCCATGTAAACCTTGAGGACGACAACTATGTTGTTCGGAGAGTAGGTTTCAAAAGGGAGGTTCTTCAAATTTAAGACTCCAGCAAAATCACCATATCTTTGTTCAATTTCTGAGGCGCTGCAACGTAGCATGGTGTGCTTTCAACCCGCCACTGACATGGTTCCGCTTGATGCACTTTATGCTGTGGCATTTGCCTAGTTACACATCAATTCTGCAACTAGCCACCGACAAAACCAACACACCAGGCTATGGCGGCTTTGATGTCGGTCCCTCTCCATTTAAGCCTTTTGATGTTGAATTTTTGGGTGTGCTTGCTCCAAGGAGCAAGTTACTTGGGGTAAGAGGGAATGTACTTGACTCTTTGGTACGATGCCGGGCAACCGTCACACGAGTTCTGCGTTGGTCTTTCACCCATGGTTGCCCAAAAAAGGTCCTTATCACCTTGTTGGTGTACGAGAATCAGCTGAGCTGAGACCTAGCAGGTGGCCGCAACCATGGTAGCTTCTCTACCTTAGGGCCTGGCTTGGGTAAGAGGCAGACACAGAGTTACGGAAGTTTGTGAAGGCCGGAAGCTGCACAATGTTCACTCACGGCTTGCACTGCCTTCGGAGACTACAGATCATTGATTAAGCTTGAGTTTTGGGTTGCTCAGGGATGCTCGGGATAGTCTGATCATTTGTTTTCGGTCGCTCGGCAAATGCCCTGCACATACACTTTCCAGTTTGTATTGGAGTAAGCCGCGAAGGAATGACTCATCAGGGTTCTTGCGTGTAGTGTATCAGCTTCCATTGCGACCACCTCTTTGACGGCCTTTTTGCGCACCTTCAGGCGCATGTTGTGTCTCTGTGGTTGCCGCTTGGGAGCTTTTCTGCTAAGAGGAGAGGCTCAATCAAGCTCCTCATTCCTTCAAGGGGGACGAGGTCCCTTTTGCAAAACTGGCTCTTACACGTGCAGCAACAGAGGAAGCTGTCGCTCCTAAAAAATGTTGGCTCGACGTATTTGTTCTGTTGGGGCAAATCCAAAGGATCGCCAGGTAAACATTTGGGGGATCGCCAGGTGAAAATTGACCACCAGCCGTCAGAACCTGTTGGCACGGCTGGGGTGCCCCAGACAGCGACCTAGACTCATGGTGGCAGTCTTTTCGGCAACAACGTGTTGCCAGTGTCTGGATGAGTTCCCCAGCGTTGTATTGCCCATGCTCCAACTTCTTGGAACAGAATGGAAAGGACACCCCCCGTAAAGGCCTTACCATTGCTACTGGTTTCTTCTATTCGGCCTCGCTTTCTACTTTGGACGATCCGCTTGACTGCTGGAGGAGGTGCACCAGTGTTCGTTTGTCCTGGGCAAAGCCAGCTACTTGGGCCACTTGAACGGTTTAGTTGCGCGACGCAGCCATGCGTGAGTGTGCAACTCGCCCTTGTTTAAACGGGCAGCTGTGTTTTCGGGGGAGAAGGCCAAAGAGTTTGGAGTTGGCTTGAGGTTACCATCATTGGCGACCTGGCGAAGACGGAGCAGATGATTCAGGCACCCGCAGGGCGCAGATGGATTGTGCTTCTGGACCAATGGATTTACTGTGTTGCATGAAGCGGACATCGCATTGGACATGTGTTTTGTGTGGCTTCGGGATTCAGCATGCGAGTGCAAACAAGTCACACAAAGAGGATAGCGGGGATTTGGGATCGTGTGAGAGCTTTTCACATTGTACTGACACGTTGCGACTGGCGAGCTGCAGCTGCCCAAATGCATTTTGTGTTTCATTATTCTTTGACAACTTGTAAACGACCCAATGGACTTTCAGAAACCATCACAGTTCATGCCCATTGGGGTTTTGCCGACTGCTTGCGTAGTACTGTGAGGTGGTTTCTTTTTCCTCGGTGGGACATCATCCCAATTGCGGTGGACAAACGCACATGTATCAAATAACTCTCCATCCGGCCCGCGTAACATTGCTTGCAAAGGGAGAGAAGAAGGAACCAGGTTGCATATTCTGCTGACCTCCCCTTGGTGGGATGGCCTGAGGAAAAGCTTGAGGTGGATCGGAAGAGGCCTACCACCTTTCAGGCATCAACGTGTAAAGAGACCTTTTCGAACCTGCAAGACAGTTCAGAGTTGGGGACTTTGTGTATATGTAAAGTTACCAAATGAGGGAACAATGAACCCGTTGTGCCGAGTGAAAACTGGGACTGAGATGCCAAACGCGCTTAGTCCTTTTTGAGGAATCCAGATTCCCGAGAAACAATAGCCACATATCACGGACACAGGCAGCATAGTCACAGCTGCAACCCTTTTCAGCCATTAAGAAAACTTTCAGCTCAGGGCCATGTCTAGCAGTGTTATGTTTTGCTTGACAATTCAGAGGAGCAAAAGCGAGAGTTCTTTTAGTCTGATTTGCCATGTTCAACGTGCTCATGCAAACGTTGACAACTGGAGCTCTTCACACACCTTCGATGCCTTCATTGCCTTCTGCATGCGGAACACTTCGAACTTTGGCCATCGAAGTGCCCATTCCATAGATTCGGATTGCCCCGTGCAGGATGCCTTGACGGCCAAGGGAGCCAACCCGACAACCCTGAACCCAGCCGTGCGGCGCCGAGAGTCAGCAATTCCTGAGGTCTGTGGGTCCATCGCCTGATTAGACTGCGAAGTGCTTCTCCCAAGCTTAGCATGAGCCAATCCAGGGGCAAGCTCCCAGACTCCAAGGGTCAGGTCCCAGGCACTCTTTGACTCAAACATTTGGTGGGGAGAGTCCTTTCAGGAGTAGGCAGCCACTTTAATTTTTGTGACAACCAGCGAGACTTTGGGCCCTTTTTCAACTGGTTTCTCTATCAAGATGAAACTTGTAGGTCCATGCTGTTATTTGTGGGTTGCAGGCAACAGCCCAGGCCGCAAAATTGAACAGGACGTTTGAATATGAGTATGCAAGACATGTTGGGCGAAACCGGTGTTTCAATATTTTGAGCGATAGCATAGTGTTGGATTGCAATGTAAGATGCCCCGCGCGTTGATTCCAAAGCGGCCCCGCAAGTGACAATTGTAGGAATTTTGCGGATTTAATACCCATATGCAGTGTCGCCAGGCGACTTTTCTATAGGAAAGCATCACCCCTGCCAATGTTGTGATTGCTTTTCGGATCCAAACAATTTCAGGTTATCATAGCATGTTTCACCCACATCATTCAGCAATTTGGGAATCATATGGGTTTCAGATTTGTTGACCAATCCCGTCTCTACATAAGATGATTGAACATACCGAGGAGCGTTTGACAGTCGCTACTCAAAGCCGCTCGTTATTTTGCCTCCTTCAGCCAAGTGGGAAGTCATAGGGACATGGATATTGGTATTCCTTGTCCCCCGACCAAAACGAAGCAGGAGGGGCACTTGAACCTAAGTGGGCTATAGCGACCTCACCACATTCGGGGATTGTTTATCAAAGCAAATGGAGAGTCTGTATTACACGAAGAGCCTACAGGTGGATGATTTCACTAGTTTCTCAGATGAAACGTGTGATTGGTCGGTGAACTGATTTGTGCTGCCCAGAAGACACTGCCGGGCGCCCCCGGCAGGCCATGATGGGGGGAAGGAGGGTCGGGCGGGGTCCGTGTCACACAAGCAGGCGGTCTCCCACTCTAAAAAGATGAAGGGAGTGAACTCGTGTGCACGTTTAATGATTCCACAAGGTGTTTCTACAAGTAGCAGTATTCTGCTCATGTTAAGGAGGGATATAGCTGTTGACTGAGGCAGGAATGTCTGCGGAAGACTGCTTTACAGCATGTGCCCCGCAAGTTGTTGGCAGGTGACTTTTTGCCCGCCAGAGTTCCGTCATTGGAATGCCAACCTGGGTTATGGTCTTGTCCTAAGCGACCAAAGGCGGGCTGGAAGGAAATGCAGCAGGACACGGTCGAGGGCTTACCTTTTTTGCCAGAACGAGCCATGCGGTAAAATGTAAGTAACAAGGAGATTCAGGGAAGCCAGCTCGCCTGCTTTCGCCCGACTTGGAAAGCCTGGCCTGCTCTGCCAACCCAGGACGCTTTGCCATTTCAGTCAGCCGCCTGCTCAACTTGCTGTTGCGAGAAGCCATTGTTGCAATTCATTGGGCAACTGCGAGTCATGTTGTACGTTTGCATGCCAATTTCAGGCTTTTCCTGTTTGTGTTCTGTACTGGATCGAGATTTGTGCGTCGGCGACCCCGCCAGTCAAGCCTGAATTCGCGTTCCGCCGAGGATGATTGGGAGCATTTCCAAATTGACAGCCGCAGTTCCTCACTTCGGAGCAAGCGTACCTGGGTTGGGTCGGTGTGGGATACCTTAGCATTCGGCCGAAGGCCACGGGAGATTTCCATCCCGCATGACCTGGTGGGGGGCTTGATTGGCCTGGCACCAAGTCGAGTTGCACCAGATTGGTCGATTGTCATTAAGCGATGTTTCCCTTGATTGGTTGCGAAGTCAGAGTGCCGGGCGATCATTTTTGTTGCTGTTTGCATTTATTGTGCGCAGAGCTTTGATCGAGCAGTGATGGCATTTGTTATTGGGATACTACAGAGTTTGCCTAAAAAACTGGGAGAACCACACAAGCTGCTTGGTCCCGCTTTTTTGACACTCCCCATTCGGCAGGTGCAAATTTCTTAATGTCCAGTGTGCGTGTATGCGAGTGTGCGGCAGGGCTATTGATCCGAAAATACCTTTTGGGAGCTTTGCGGGGTGTTTCGGGAACCTTCCCTGCTAATATTTTCAGTTGCAACCTACCTAGTTGGCAAATCTCAGCCCCTCAATCTATCATAACATCATCTCTCGAATTATTCGAGCTAATTGTAAACGCGTCTCGTTGCCCGCCTCGGCCCAGCCTAGTTTGAGGGAAGGGTCAGGAACAGCCGGCGTCGCCTGGTTGGGCTGGGCCACAGGCTAGTCTCAGACACATCAGATAAGCCTGCGCTGGGCCTGAAGCTAGTCTCGGGCAGCTTGGCTGGACCTTGCTTGCGTGGGTTGTTGGTTGAGCTGGGCCTGAAGCTAGTTTACGGCGGGCTGGGCAGCCGCACTGAGGGGGCTGGGATATGGCTGGGCTGGGCCTGAGGCCAGTTTCAGACACGTCAGACAGGCCTGGCCAGCAGGCGGACTGGGCTGGGCTAGACGCTAGTTGAGCCCAGGCTGGTGAGGCCCAGCCTCGGCGCTAGATAGGCTGAGGCCTGCAAGTCTCAAACAGGGTGGGCTTGGGTGGGGTTTGCTTAGGCGGGTTGTTGGTTGGGCTGGGCCTGAAGCTAGTCTCAGCCACGACGCTGCGAAGCCATGGGTGGGTTGCTGGCTGCTGGGCAGCCGGACTACGCTGTTGGTTGCGCCTGGAACTTCGGCTGGGCGGGCTGGGCTGAGCTGTGCTTGGGCAAGGCCTGTTTCATACACACTTGGGCCTGAGGCTGGGTGCCGGGCTGGGCCTGAGGCCAGTTGCAGACACGTAAGACACGCCAGCAGGCGGGCTGAGGGACTGGGCCTGAGGCTAGTCTCAGGCTGGCATACTTTGGCAGACTGCGCCGAAGGGGCTGGGCCTGCTGGATGAGTTCGGGCCAGACGCGAGCAGGAGGTCAAGGAGCTGCTTGGGCAACCGGACTGAGGGGCGGGGCTGGGGCACGTCAGACAGGCTTCATAGCTTGAGACCAGTCTCAGACACGTGAGACTGGTCGTTGGCCTGAGGCCAGTCTCAGACACGTTAGACAAACCTGACCTCGGCACGCTGGGCTGAGCCTGCTGGTGGGCTGGGAGCTGGGGGCCGGCCCAGTGGCTGGCATGCCCTGAGATGCGCGGCCTGGGCTGGGCAGGCTGGGGCCGTGCTTGGGCGGGTTGCTGGTTGGGCTGGGCTTGTTTCAGACAAGCTTAGGCTGGGTTGACAGGCCTGGCCAGCAGGCGGGTTGCTGGGCCTGAGCCCAGTCTCAGACACGTCAGACAGGCCTGGCCATGTCGGCTGGCCCAAAATCCTGTCCGGCGGGCCTTGAAATTTTCGGGGCTCGTCGGCGTCCAGCTCCATGGGTCCATTTTTGTCGAAAATGTGCTGACAATTGCGAAAAGCGCGGGGAGAAAGTTGGGGGAGGGGAAAAGCGAAGATTCTCTTTGGAGAAGAGATCTGAGCGCCCTTGGCCCCTTTGGGGCCGAGGCGAATTTTACCATATAATGTTGCATTAAGATTTGTCAATATTTTGACATGGTAAACCAAAAACTTGTTTTTTTAAGCACCTCTAAATTCAATTGATTCGAAAACTGTCAGAGACTGTGAAACTGAAACATCTTCTTTTTACATTGCAACAGGCAACTTGGACCGGTGTTTGGAGTCCGCGGCGCCACACATGGTTCTGTTGTAGACGCATTTTGTCCGTTCTTGCGCAGAGCCAACGCTGGATTCTTGAGCCATCCGAGGCCCTGGCGGCTCCACCATCAACGACATCCGGCAAAAGGCCGGAGGCAAGGCCCAGGGGAATTGCTGAATCGCTTTTGCCTCAGACATGCAGCCAGTAACTCAGTAGGATTGCCTCAGACTCCTACGGTTGTGACTGCCATATTTCTCCTTTGGGGTCTGGTCTGGAGGCGCATTGGAGGGATTGTGCATGCGAACCGTGCTTTAGATTTTGTTCATCAGTCCCAGCTTTCTAACTAGTACCTTTCTTGCGCCGTATTAATGGTATTTCAGAGCAGCATTCCCTTACAAATCCCAGTCCAGGTTTATTTTTCATCCAATTGGAACTCTGAAACTGGAAGTGCCATGAAGATCAGCTGCCACTGCCAGTGACCTGACACTCTTTGAAATTGATCTTACCGCATTGCTGCCACTTGAATTATTGAGTCTTCCCCTTGCATGTTCAACTCCAAGGTCTTAGGTCATGATGTCTTGCTCTAGGGTGCGAGATTCCGTAGGTTATTCTTCGGGGACTGCTGGTGTGCAAATGAGCGCCAAGGCAGACAGCTCTTCCAAAATACTCACCGGCTAAGCTGCATCTAGCCAAATACGCTACTGAGGTTTAAGAAGGCTAGCTGTGAGGTGCCCGCCCCGCACATCCATGAGGATCCCTTGTGCTTCCTTCGTTTCCCTCCGTCGCTTGTGCCTTCGAGAGGCTCGGTCCACATCTCCGTGCTGCCGGGGCGCCCAAACCAGCCGCTACAAGCGACACTTTCTTAAGAGCCTCTGCACTTTCTGGCCCCGCCTTGACGGCTCACATTGCGTGGCGTGGGCAAGCAGAGCACTTGCTCGGACAGTGGGCACTTGGAAGACCCACAAGCTGGTGCACAAGCAGTGTGTAGCAGTACAGATCTTGGGGGCGACTCTCACAGTCTCCGGCCACTTTCACCACTAGGCTTTGCTCATTTGCCGCTTCTCACGTGATGCTCGATAAAAGTCAATGTGGTTTGGGATGTCCGGGTTGCTTCGGCCTTTGAGGCAAGCCTCCACGCCTGGAGGGCCGCAGGCGGTGAACTGTGGAGCTTCCTTGGGAATTTCGGCACAGTCACCAAACTACCAACTGATTCAAAGGACCCTGATTCAGAGGACTCAACACATGCAGCCTGCGGGTCTTCCTTCAGCAAGCGGCACTCGCAGACTTTCTTCATGGCAGCATGACATTTTTCCCCAGATAGCTGAAAGCTTCAGGGGTTCTAACTTCTAATAAAGAAGGGAAAGTGATTTGCGAGATTGACGGCTGGGTGCTAGAGGGCATGCAGTTTGGGGTTTTGCTGTAAGTGCTGTTTAGGGTGCTGTTTGAGCTGCTGGTGATGGTGCGAGCGTAGTTTATTTGGATTGACGGCAGGGTGCTAAGGCATGCAGTTTGGGTGCTGGTGCAGGTGCTGTTTTGGGGTGTGCAGGTCACAGTGCGGGCACACTTTTGCAAGATCGACAGCAGGGTGCTAGGGGGCATGCAGTCTGGGGTGCTGGCGCAGGTGGTGTTTTGAGATGAGGTTCTGGTGATGGTGCAAGTACATATTTGCGAGATTGACGGCCGGGTGGTTTGGGAGTGCCGCTTGGGGGTGCTGTTCGGGGTGATGGTGCGGATGGTGTTGAGGGGCTGGTGACGAGCGTGGCGTTTTGCGAGATTGACGGCTGGTGCAGGTGCTGTTTGTTGGGGGCTGTTGACGGCCAGGGGTGTTTTGTTGCGAGATTGACGGCAGGGTGCTAGGGGGCATGCAATTTGGGGATTCTTGTGCAGGCGCTACAATATTTTTGGGATGCTGTTTGGTGTTGGTTGAGGTGCTCTTCGGGCAGTGCTGTTAGAGGTGCTGGCGTACTGTCGTTGGCACATGTTGCGCTATCTGGGGTCTATGCTGGTGTGTGTGTGTGTGTGTGTTTTTTTTTTTTTTCCCCCGACAGCGCAGCGTACTGTGACTTCCCTGGCACATGGCAACTTCGGATACGATTTTATGTAGGACCAGCCACCACTTTGTGCATGACTTCTCCGGGCCCTGCCCTTTGCTCTCCGCCAGACCTGCCGGATCACGGGCCCCGAGGACTTCCCCCAACGCGGTGCGTGTGTTTGTGGAGGGATCTGGCTTAGATGGTGCCAGGCAAAAATGCAGCAATGCATGAGTTCGTACAGTTACAGCTCCCCCCCCGTCCCCAAAGGTGGGCCGTACCAGGCAGATAGATTTTTCGGTATTTAACAGATTCAACTTTTCAGACAGAGGCTGGCATAAGGAGCGCCTCCCTGGAGGCCTGAATCACGTACGCAGGTCACTAGGTTTCTCGTGAATCTGGTGTCTGTTTTCAGTTCTGTTTCTGGGACTGGATGATGGCGATTTTGCATTTTGTTGCGGTGTCTGTTTTGGTTGACGTTTCACATATTCGAGAGTGCCCTATATGGAAAACAGCAGTCCGGGCTATTGGAAGGGCAGCGCGGGGAAACAATCCTAAACCTAAACCTAAGCCCATCCTCAACCAACCCTAAACCCGGCTTTGAGTTGGTTTCGTCAGCTTCCATCATGCGGCGCACGTCATACAGCGAGATACAATAGGATTCCAAGACGATAGGGGGTGAAATGCGAGTTTCTCTTGACAATGTTGGCTCTTGGCGGGACACATGATTCAGCCATTGGTTTGTGTTTGGTTCGTTTCAGCGCAGTTTGTTTCCACAGCACCGATTGGCATCCTCGACACATGCGCGATGTATTTCAATCCAAGAGCACTCTTCCAAATTAGACGGTGACTGCTCAGAATCAGTGTGTTTCCTCATTTTGGTAGTGTTCCTACGAGCGTGTGCTAAACATGTTCACAGGTTTATTTTGGTAGAGGTCCAAGCGCAGGACAATGCCGATATTGTGGGTGGCTGGTTCTCATTGACAGCAACTTCTTTACGATATTATATTTCACCCGCCCAGGCATTGCAACCCTATAACTATGATCACAGAAACAGTGCATGGCTTTCAGCATGTGGGCATCAGTACTGTATGAAAAGTTTGGTTACATCAAGCACTTCTGCTTACAAGCAGCCATGCAAGCGGCGTTCATCGCAAGGGCAGGTGTGTGTTGCGAAGGCGCCTGCAAGGGTTTGAAAGGCGGACCTCTTGCAGATTGCCTTTTACGAAGCAGGAGAAAAGCACCACTTGCATGCTGCATCTGTCATTTTGGGTACATGATCTAGCAGAGGCCGCAGCTGGGGCCAATGGATTTTGTGTATCGTTTGCCCAGAACAATGGGTAATATCGTCTCCCGCGGCAGTCCGCTGCCGATCGAGCATTGCCCAGGAGCTTCTGCCGCAAGCAGAGGCAGGCAGTGAAGAATCTGGTTTTTCACCCTGACTATGAGCAACGTACGCGATGGTCACCCTTTTGAGAGATGAGAGGGTCACTGCGCAGATCTCCTATATCGAAGCCAAGATCGTCCCCTACGCCATAATTTTTGGACAACGGCTGTTCCAACTTATGCGACCGTTCCAACTTCTGAGCCGCTGAGTGCGGCCGAACAATTGCAAGGGCGGCGCACGCAACTATCCCGTATTATTCCCTGAAGAGTGCTGCGATTTTCATTTTGCTGTTGCTGTTGAGTGCGTGACTTGTATTTGCTTTGCTCAAGTTTGTCGGTCCCACTCACGACTTCCCACGTGCATCCAAGGGGTCGTCTTGATGTCATATGCATTGCTTCCAGGGTTGACCACCTGCAAATTGAAATGAGCACCAGTGAATGGGTTCTGTGAATGGCCGGTCTCCTGCCAGAACTGCAACAACTTGCATGTAACAGTTCAAAGTGGATGAGCGAGCGGAGCTTTGCTTGAATGAAGTCCAAGTGATAACTTTGCTTGAAGAATCGTCGGGTAGCCCACCTGCTGGGCTTTCGTTTCCTTCCCTCTGGCGCCATCGACCCTGATGGGCCAAGTTAAGCTCATCTTTGCAAAGCCTCAGACGGGCACGTTTTCAGAGCAGCTGGTCCAACGGTACTTTTGACGACGTTACTTTTGAGGCGTGGTTTGCCCGATCCATCGGACATTCAGATTGAACACAAGACAGAGGTGGATCCGGCCGAAAAGCAGAAGGGGAAGCTGATGCCTCGTGTAAAAAAACACATGTTCTCTCCTCACGGGCTTTTGAGTCAGGTTCCAAGAGCTGCGGACGCAGGGTCTTGGTTGGTTTCTGTGGGCAGGTCCTTGTTTGAGTTGTTGGCAAAGTTTGGGTCGTGGAGATGCTTTCAAACACCAGCCCTTTTATACTGTTTCGTTTGCATGTAAGCTGGCAACTCCCTACGTTGACACATATTCATACAATGTCAAGAGGGAAGTTGAACAGCCCAACAACAAGGAAGCAATCGACCCACTTCAGCAGGCACTGCTGAATGCGAGGAGGCCTTTCCTGAGAGCTGAGTAGCATCCACCAGAGAAACACTATTTACTTGAGGGCTCGTTCCGTTGAAAGTTGCAGTATGCTGTGCAGATGTCGAATACTTGCATCGCTGAAGGAATTTAGAACATCCTAGCTCCAAACTCGTGAAAGCTAGGCCCTTCATCGGCTTGTATTGGTTCTGGCCACGGGACGGGGCATGATGTGGGAGGATTTGATCAACACCAAGATGAGCGAGCTGCTGGTCAACCGGGTGCCACGTGGGGGCGGTGGTGCCTTGCCGCCGCAGCGGCAGCCTGAGCCGAGAATCGCTCAACACAAGTCCAAATGCTGCCAGGCAGAATGCCCAGGCCTACCTAAAGTAAGCTAGTGAAGGTCAGCTGCAGCTCATTCTAGGCAACTTGTATGCCTAGTCGTAGCCCTTAACAAAGCAGGAAACCACCGCGAACCACATTTGAATCAACCCTGAACTGCAGCTTTCGGCTTGAGCCTTGTCTGATGCACACAGACAGCCATGCTTGACACAGATTCACGTAAGCATTTTCGGATAGCTGCTGAAGTTCTCCATGCTTGGTTGCTATGCGGTCGGAGCTTGGAGCTTTCACTTCTTTGGAATTTAGTCTTTTCCTAACAATGTAACAACCAAGAACAAGCTGACTTTCGATCAGAGGAAGGAGCGAGTTGCTTTGGAAACGAATCCATTCCTCCCGCAGCTTAGCTGGTGCATTTTGCGTTATATGACAGCATCGTGGCAGAACTGGAGTGCAGGAGGTTTCCTCTGGTAGAGTACACCGGGCCGAAATCCTGCAATGGAGGGAACGGACTCGATCAGCCCCTTCAACCCAGGCGCCCGCGGGCCAGGGCCAGGATTCTGAATACCTCGAAAATTGCCCGCCGGTGGGGTAGACAATTTGGAGTTTCCAGCTTTGTTTGTTTTTGAACCATTTTTTCTTCACAGTTTCTCCGCTCGCGTATGGCTTCGAATAGGACACGCGGCAAATCCAGGGATCCCGATTTATTGGGATGATTTGAAAGGGACACGGCGATCCAAAACTGCAACCAGTCCGAGAAGTTCCTAGTTTTGACACATGGCCAACTCTTGGGCTAGCAGCGTGTTCTCGGTTATTTATTTTCCGGCTGGTGTAGTGTTGTTATTCAGTCGAGACGATTATATGATCCCTTTTTGGCGCATATTATAAATTTGGTTTGATCGAAACACATCTGAATACATGGGACACATAAAGCCGAATTGCTAAACATGTTTGTCATGGGTGTACTTTTTGCGAAAGTTGAGAAGATCAACCTGGCAATGTTTGATTTAAGTTGATGTGGTTTTCTTTTATTAATTCTCGATCTAGACCTTTTTTGCTTGCCTGTTTTACTTATACTTATTGAAATCGCTTCGCCATCCGCCGACGCCAGTGGACAGTCCCCTATTAATAAACTGGGGCTGATGTCACGTGGGGCTCTTAACGCGTGGAAGAACAAACAACGCCGCTCTGACGTCGGCTGCAGGGTGCCTTGAATTTTGGGTAGGGAAAAAGACTCTCTTTTTTTGCCTAGGTCAAGTGGGGCTCTTAGCGCGTGGAAGGAGAACGGAAACAACGCCCCTCTGACGTCGGCTGCAGGGTGCCTCGCATTTGGGGCCGGGAACAAGACGTCCTTTTGCCTAGGTCACATCGGGCTCTTAACGTGTTGAGGGAGAACAAATAACGTTCCTCTGACGTCGGCTGCAGAGTGCCTCGAATCTGGGGTAAGGAAAAAGACGCTTACAAACAGCGCCCTCTGACGTCGGCTGAAGGGTGCCTCAAATTTGGGGCAGGAAAGAAGACGTCTTTTTGCCTAGGTCACATGAGCCTCTTAACAAGTGAAAAGAGTCCAAGCGACGCCCCTCTGAGGTCAGGAAAAAGACGTCTTTTTGCCTGGGTCACATGGGTCTCTTAACGCCTGGAAGGAGAACAAGCAACGCCCCTGCCCCTCTGAAGTGTCTTGAATTTGGGGTAAGGGAAAAAGACGTTTTTTTTGGCCTAGGTCACATGGGGCTCTTAACACGTGGAAGGAGAGGGTGCCTCGAATTTGGGGTAAGGAAAAAGACGTTCTTTTTCCTAGGTCATATGGGGCTCTTAACAAGTGAAATGAGACCAACCGACGCCCCTCTGAGGACCTCAAGTTTGGGGTCTTAACGCCTGGAAGGAGAACAAGCAACGCCCCAATGAAGGAGAACAAGCAACGCCTTGTTGAGGTGCCTGGAATTTGGCCTCGAATGTGGGGTAAGGAAAAAGACGTCTTTTTGCCCAGGTGATATGGGGCTCTTAACAAGTGAAAAGAGACCAAAGGACGCCCCTCTGAGGTTGGCTGCGGGGTACCCTAAGTTTGGGGTCAGGAAAAAGACGTCTTTTTGCCTAAGTCACATGGCTCTCTTAACGCTGGAAGGAGAACAAGCAACGCCCCTGTGGAAGGAGAACAAGCAACGCCCCTCTAAGGCGCCTTGAATTTGGGGTAAGGAAAAAGACTAGGTCACATGGGGCTCTTAGCACGTGGAAGGAGAGGGTGCCTCGAATTTGGGGTAAGGAACAAGATGTTTTTTGCCTCGGTCACATGGGTCTCTTAACGGGAATGCAAACAACGCCGCTCTGACTTCGGCAGCAGGGTTGAATATTTGACAGGAGAAGAACACTAGGGTCTACTCTTCAAACCACCCGAAAGGGTATAAAAGCAAGGCACCTTTTTTTGTAAGTGGAAAGGCCTTCTTGGCAATTTCCTGTTTTTCATGTCCCAGCTGAGGATGCTGGAAATGCAAGGGGTGCAACCACACAACTTACACGAACAGACCCAATCTTCGCGCTCAAGATTTTAAGATTTTCAGACACGCAACATTGACCAAACACAGAAAGTACCAGAAATGTGGGGAATGCTGGGAATGCAGCCGGCTAGCCACATAATAGTGCAAACAACCCGGGTTTTTAGATATTTCCCAAAAGCAACCATCAAAAACTGATACTAGCAACCCCCCTCAAATACCCTAAAAATAGATTTCCAAAAGCACGATACTGCAGGGGATGTTTCGCAGTAACTGCTCCGTGCAGGTGGGGAATACAGTCCCTAACAGGCCAATTCCAACATCGCTTGAAAAAGCAAAACACCACTAGTATCTGCAAAAAAATGCACATTCATGGCAACAAGGCAATCCTGATCATGCTGGGGATGCAGATCCTGCGCGTCCGGGGGAGCCCCCCCCCCCCTAGAGACCTAGGCGAAACGTATATTTTTAGCACGAAAGGCCCAAAAACACTTGAAAAATACAGGTTTTGGACACCCAGCACAGCATGCCCAAAAAATTGCAGTCCCAAAAGCCTTCGGCTTTGATAAGAGATTCCGAAGGAAAACCAAGTTGCGGACTGCCATCTACACGCTCGACTGGCGTCGGCGGATTGTGTCTTTTTTTTTGGCCACGCAATCTTAGTTCTTAATTCACGATTCTCGGTGTATTGTTTATATACTTTTTACATGTTATACAGCCTGATGCGAGGCTCTACTTGATTCGCGAGCTTCCTTGTCAGCGAAGAGCCAGCTTGACTTTTGGCAGGCCAGCTCTACGCCGGCCAGTCGACGGTGACCGTGGATGTGGCAGCCTGGCATTGGGAAGCCATGGAATAAGGCTCCGAGACCTGATCAGGTAGGACTTAGTAGTTTTGCGCTCATGGATTTCTTGGTTTGTTCTTGAGGGCTTGTTACTTGAGGCAGGGTTCTCATCAAGTCTGAATCGTTGCGTCTCGGGATGGCAACGAACAACGCCTGTCTTGCTGTTCCAAGATTTCAGGTTTTTGCATCCTGTTCTCACCCCAAAATTGAGTCCAGCCCTTGCTGCAGCCTGGCCAGAACGCCAGAACAAGGACGGCGTGCCTGTTTTGGTGAAGATCGATCCGTTCTACGGACCTCAGCCGATACGAGCTGCTGGGCTGCCTGGGCGCAGAGCCCTTGTAGCTTTTCTTTGATAGTTGCTGGCTGGCTGCGCGGCTTGATAGATACATTGAAACACAGGAAGCATCACTGAGGTTTGTATTGTGAACACCAGATTCAGCTGTGATGTCAGGTAGCAACACGAAGGGGGGTCCATACAAGAATGATAAAGCAACTAGCATCCGACGTGAATCCTGAGTTTGTGCTTTATTTGCTCTGATATCCCGGGTTGGCAATCAACTCGAGACACAAGAGGTACCATAAGTTAAAAGATGCGGGGGCTTGTTCCATCTCAGGCTATGAAGGCAACTTCCTGGACCCCTTGGAAAGATGCGTTTCCATCTTTGCTTGCTGATCGGGCATTTGTCCGCAAAAGCGTCGATCACTTGGCACAGGGCACTCTTCAGGAGAATGAAAGGTGGCAATACTTCGTAGTGGATTGAATTGTCATTGCAGCACATGAAAGCCAAGACAACAACGGAGGAAGATCTAGATGCTTGTGCTACGGCCCCAACCCAAACTATGTCAGATGATCCCCGCGTAAACAGAGTGACTGACAGTCTCGGATATGCGTGGCAGTCTCAACCTGTTGACTGCATCCTTGCAAACGGCATACCAAGGTCGGAGGCACAGAGCCAGGTGCGAACGCAGCTCGGCGCAGCCTCGCTGTTGGAGTCCGACTCGGGCCTTGTCTTACCGAGTCGGTCTAATGGCCAGTTCAGTTGTCGTTCAGAAAGGCATCAGGCCGGCAGAAATTCAAGTTTGTCCAAAGACAACACCCGTTGAACAAGTTGTGCCATCCAAGCATAGTTAGACGGTGTACACATATGCCATGGCTGAGAGTTAGGCACCCTCGAAACGCTTCAATGTCATGTGTTGGCATGTGCTCGCATTGGAATTCCCAGGACAGCTACCAGAACCCATGGGGGAACTTGGAGAACGAGCCCCACGCAGAAAGCTCAGCTATGCGCCATCAGAAAGGCTGTTTCAGCTGGCTCAACAGAGGAGCTTGTATAGTTGAGAAAAATAGGAAGAGTCGAGATGGGAGGTTGGGTTACCCACTGTGTGGGGAATGATTAATCCAATGTGTTTTGCTCAGGAGTGTGGTTTCAATCTTCTGCATGATGGCATGCGCTGCATGGACGAGTAGCTTAGTGTGAAAAAAAGGCACTGGGATTCGCAGATGTTTTCCATTCCTCAGGATTGAGAAACAATGTTTGCTTTAGATAAACCGGTGTGATCCGCTTGATGCTTTCACCATGGCTAGTGTGCGTGTGCGTGTGCGTTTGTAGTGTGTGTGTGTGTGTGTGGTGTGTGTGTGTGTGTGTGTGTGTGTGTGTGTGTGTGTGTGTGTGTGTGTGTGTGTGTGTGTGTGTGTGTGTGTGTGTGTGTGTGTTTGTGTATGCGCTCCCGTGTCATTTGTGATGTTCATGATGACCGATTGATTTCTTTTTTTTTTGCGTACCCCGATTGTGGAGGGTCAAACCAGTAGACGCATGCATCTGTGATCTAAATTGGAAGGACACCAAACGTTGGAGTTGCTAGTTCGGGCACATTCCCATTTTCCACGGATCTGACCTTCACAGCCGAGCTCTCCAAGAGAAACCACATAGCACCCGTTTCCGGACTATTGGGTGAGTCCCCCAGGTTTACTTTACATGGCCATGTTTTGGAATACTTGGGTCAAAATTCCCGTACCCCCAGTGAACATCCTATTCCCCCCAAAAATACACTGACATGTGTGGTGTACCTACCCCACAATGGTACCATTGGTTTTGACCCACAGCCACTTTACGGCCAGAAGCTGAGCTGTTCATTTTGAAATTTAGGCATGGTCACGCCTGAGAAAACCCTGACATCACGGTGTTCACCAAGAGGCCCATTCCATTTCCAGTGCGGGGTTGGGGGGGCTGTTGCAATGATGTGCACCAACAGGCCTGTTTCATTTCCAGGGGTGATCATTGATTTTTCCTTTCAAATGCTGCCCAAGGACATACGTCTCCACGCGGGCGCTGGCGTTTAGTGTTTTCGCATATAAGCTGCAACGACCCTTTGAGCAGAACCTGAGTTGTCGTGTCACACCCTGTCACTCCGATCTCCGATTTCAATTGTGCAGTTGGCGCCTGGCCCCAGGGCCTTCACAAGAGGTGGAGCGAGTTTACCATCACAGAGCAGAAGATTGCAGCGACTTGGCTGAGAAACTGTTAATGGTTCCAGCCAGTCTGCGGCTTTTCTTGTGCTCGTGTTTGGTGTGTGCTTGCCAAAATCCAGAGCTGCCATTGACACGACGTCCCACGAACTGTCTTCTTCAACCGCCTTGTTGCTCCAGGTCCCACCACTTGGGCAAGCATGCCGAAGCTGTATGGTCCTTTTGATACCTTTGCCTTCGGAACATCCACCACGTTGAACCATTCCTGCCATGGGGCACACATTGCCCAGGTTTACCAGACGGCATCTTGGCACAGTTCGGTGCAGAGAACTGGGCAATCTTGAAACCCTTCTTCGGGGAGTTCATGCAGCTGTCAGGGTTTCAATGGAAGGAACCAAATTATTGGAGTTTGGTTGCCCCACCAAGTGAGCATTTTTGATTTGGGGTGTATTGGAGGTGTCTCCCGCTGTAGGGGTATCTTTTGAGGGACTCCCCACAATACAACAAGATAATTTGTGTGCCTCACACATAAAGCATTGTAGATAGGTATGTAGATAGGATGACTATTCTGAAGTCGTGGGGTCAAACCATGTCAGCTTCGCGCCATCACCAGGACAAATCGTTGTGGCAACCATTTCGGAAAAGCTGTGTGTGCGATCTCAGTGTATCTTGGTGTACAACTGCAAACTTGCTGTTTCAGGAAACGTACAGTGCCCGAGAGCATTGAACTTTGTACATGGCGTGGCATGGCATTCCTTAGCCTTCCCTTTGCAACTTTTCTGATCAAACTCCCGGCCCGACAGAGAGAAGGCCGTGCCTGTCAAGCAAGTTTTTTTTTTTTTTTTTTTTTTTTTAAATGTCAGACACCGTTGTTGTGGACGAATAGGAAATAGGCAGAATTGATTAAAGATGTCCGGACAATGATGACGCTGCGTGTCCATAGGTTTGCGCGCGTGTCTCCAACTTTATTTGCAAGGACCTTAAGCATGAACTGGCAATCGTGAATGGCAACTGCTAGAGACTCCGAGACACAGTGTCCCCCCCCCCCCCGACCCCCACAGCAGTTTGATCCGATTTAATGAGCCGAGTCTTCTTCAGCCATCAATCACCAGGGGGAAGTAATGGTTTAGCTGCCTGCCTTTGGACATGTGCTGGAAGCTTTCGGAAAGGCACCAAGAGGAGTGCTGTGTTTGTGGCCTCGGTCCTTACATGCAACTGCGGCAATGCCAGGCAAAGATCAACAAGTCGCGGCGAGAGCACGCGGAAGCGTGGAGCCTTGGTTGCAAGTGTGAAGGCAACCGACTTTCTTCTTACTGTGTCAGCGCTCTGTTGGTGGTTGGTGGTTGGTGGTGGTGGTGGTGGTGGTGGTGGTGGTGGTGGTTGTGGTGGTTGTGGTGGTGATTGTGGTGGTGGTGGTGGTGGTTGTGGTGGTTGTGGTGGTGGTTGTGGTGGTAGCGGTGCTGGTGGGGTCGTGCTTGTGGTTGTTGGTGCTGCACCTGCTGTTGCTGGTGGTGTTGCTGCCCTTGTTTCTGTCTCGCCGTTGTTGTCGTCATTGCAGCTGTATTTGGTTTTGCCTGGGGAAAGATGGAGCAAGACCGTTGCAAAGCAGCGCTAAATGCTGGCTTCTAGACCCTGCCTCATGCTGTGAAGCTCACTTTACGCCCGTTTCTTTAGGACTGCTTGAGCTGGCATGTTTTCAGCGCCTTTATTTGAGAAGGACATATTGCTCACACAACGATTCACGTCAGTGCTCGGCACTGCCAACTGTTTCTTTGTGCCGACTGGGCAGGCAGGTCAGGCGTTTGCTCTGCTCCAATGTGTTTCTGAAGTGTGGTTTCTCGCAGGTACTAGTGCTACTGTGTTTAGCTGCCAGGTAAGCCCGCGGTGCGGGCATCCCAATATCCCACAAGTCGTAGGATCATTTGTGTGTGGAAGGGATGACTAACCCGCGGGTCGGCCAAGGCTGGAGAGACTGGCCTGGGAGAAGCACCTGGCTTCCCTGCGAGACATTCGTGACTGAGGCTGAGCAGTGCCAATCTTCCGCTGCATGTTGAAGCAACATTGGTGCCCTTGATATTCAGATCTAGTCACACTTTGTTGCTTTCTCGAGAGCCATGTTTCTCAGGTGTATGGCCCTTTGTCTTTCGGAGAATCAGTGCTTGTGACAGAGGAAGGCTGCGCAAGCCCGTCACACCATGCAAATCACCACATCTGGCGTCGAGAATGGACTGGACCGTGTCAGCCAGAGGTAACTCAAGAGAATAAAGCCAAAGCCACTTGGAGAGGGTCAGACGTCCGCATTGGGCGTGCTTCTGCTGACTGGACTGGTTTGCTTCTGGCTGAGACGCATTCCGTTCCATTTGTGCTTGATCGTTTGCACGTGCTTGTGGCCATGGCACCCTGCAAGAGCAATCGATGTAGAGCCCATACCTTTCACATCAAAGACCCGATGCAGAGACAGGAAGTTCCAGCTGCAGAGCTGTGCAATGTGTTACGGTTCGAGCTAATCAGGTTTTTTGGTTTGCAGGATTTTTCTTGACAATCACGAGTCCAACAGTTCCTGGCCTCGGGGGACACGGTCACTCAACAGAGCCGCCCGAGCAAAATCCATGCCCTGGCTGTGACAAAAGCTGCTCGCAACGCCTGGGCTGGTGAGGGGTGCCATTCTGTAAAAAAGCATGTTCTGCAACCGGAAGCATCCAACACCCCATATATGGATGAGTATGATGAGTGATGTACATGTCCCTCAAGTGTTGTCACTTTTTGGCCTCACATTATATCAACTCAGGTTTCATTTAGTGCCGGACCATTATGTGGAGTCAAGCCAGCTTCAAGACACCGATTCCAGGGGCTGGGGCGGACTCCCTATTGTTGATGGACCTTGTGAGATTGTCTGATGATGTTGTGGCGTGTTTGTGATTCATACAGTCCTTTTCTTGAAAGCACAACGAGTTTGCCAGGCTCATGGGCGCCCTTCTCATTGTGGCCACAGCTCGGCCGATTTCCTTTCTCAGCAGTTCAGCGTCGGGTGAATCGGGTGATGCTGGCTGAGGTACGGCGCGGTGCCGCCCTATTCTCCAGCACCGCCCAACCAGGCGCGGGCAAGAGTGGGCTTGGAAGGGAACAGCTCTCTCGCTCCGTCTCCGTCTCCGTCTCCGTCTCCGTCTCTGTCTCTGTCTCTGTCTCTCTGCATCTCTCTCTCTCTCTCTCTCTCTCTCTTTCTCTGTCTGTGTCTCTGTCTGTCGCGCTCTCTCTCTCTCTCTCTTTCTCTGTGTGCCCCAGGCAGCAACAGACACAGGGCACATATCAGAAGTGTAGTGTGTGCTTGCCCAATGACTGCCGCAGCCGGACGTTGATAAATAGGCATATAAGTCACGACAATTGCTGCGCTCTCTTGGCACGTTACAACACGGACCTGCTGGATAAGCATTGTCAGAACAGACACGAACAAATAATGTGCGTGGCCGGCGTGTGGAAGTTTGAGCAGCTTGGCAAGTCTTCCACAGGCCCTGTCATAGGGGCGTGATGTGGACGAGGCTTTGAGGTCATTAGATTGTACGTGCCGCTGTCAAATCCTGCTAGGTTATTTGAGCCAATGCTTGAATTCTTGTTTGTCATGCTTTTTACACACTTTCTCGCGATCTATGTTGACATGCGTGCGCGCGCACGCGTGTATGTGTGTGAGAGAGAGAGAGACACAAGCATGATCACCTCGACCACTCAGACTTGCTGCATCTTGCAAAATTGCTGATTACTGCATGATTGATTCTTAAATGCCCCTTGAAGCTTGTCTATCATGGCCACTGCAGCTGCAATTTGGCAGATTCAATATTTGTGATGTTTTTGTCTTGCCAACTAGCTTGTTAATCTTGACAGCTTGTACTGGGAAAGCAGGAAGTGCGAGCTGACCTTGAGGGAACCTCGCCACAGGTTCCCAAGCATGCCATGAAGGCATTAGCCTTCAAGAATCTGTCCGAGAATGCAACCATTTGTTTGTAAAACCGCAAGCGCCGTCCGTGCATTGCCTGCGCCAGTTTGCCCCACCGGCCATGGCTCCTGGTTGGGGCCTGAAATTTTGTCAGGTTGAGCGATGTAGCAAAGGTCATTTGGGCCTAAGTTCATGTGGATTGCTGCGTGGCTAAGATTAGAGACCGGACAATGATGTAAGACCAAGTGGCTTTTGAGTCCCTCAGTGATGACGGCCCTGCAAACGTGCACCAGCCTACACGGATTCATGGAATCGTTGCTCGGACACACCGCTCTGTCGAGCTTGTGTTTGCTTTTTTGACACACGTCCATTCAAGTTGATGGAAATCGAGCTTGAGCGAGTCACTAATTGTCTTTGTCAATCACTACCCTCCCAAGAGCTCGTTCGGTGACATCCCTGCTCCCCCCGCAGCTTGGCCTCCGGCTCTTTCCTCCACCAAGGCCCTGTCGGTGCCTCCTATGGCGACATGGGAGGCACGAACCCCGTGCTGTCGGATAGAAACCTCGGGACCAATGGGTAGTTCTTGCCCCAGCAATCAACGCCCGCTGCTTTTGTGAGGATGCCACACTTTGTGCACAGATCAGTATCGTGGCCCACATGTTACCAGGTGTGAGAAGGGTTGTGCAGAAGGATGCCTCAGAGCGACGGCGCCTCAAGATTGGTCCCAGAGATTGAGGCCCGCATTGAGAGCTTAAGGAAGCAGTGCAGTGTGCCAGTTGGTTGGCATTGGACAACAAACCAGACCTTTCACACCGCATTCTCATGTGGCTTTGCAGTAGACTACAATTTCTCAGTGCCGTGATGAGTGAGTGGAAACTGTTTTATTTTGCTCTTGCCCTGCAGGGTTTCGGTTTTAGTCATTCTGTGGATGGGCTGCTCCGCTAGCTAATCACAGTCAACCAAGACCTGTGGGCAGAGCGGGCTGCAAGCAAGGATGTGTCATAGTTTTTTTTCCGCAAGTGATTCTGTCTGCTTAGTGCAGGCACAACACACAATGGGACAGCTCATTGAAGGAGTGTATTGCCACATGCATGTTTTCGAGCGCCTCATGAGAGTATGTTTGTGAATCGAAATGCAAGCGGTATGTGTGACAACACACACACACACACATGTCAAGTAAATCACCTTCACGATACGTTTGCCCGTAGCATCTCCCGGATTTGATGACCAAGCAAGATTGCTTCTTCGCTTTTTTGTAGAGGGATTATCCCGAAGACACGTCTCTTCGTCGTCCGTGACTGGCAGCAGAACTGCTGGTCAATCAGCCAGCTTGGTATTTCTTCAGAGCGCATTGATTATACGGATACCGTCAACATAAGAGCTTTTCGGACAGTCAGGTACTGGTCAGCATGTGTGGCATGAATTTGGAAGAGAACTGTAGCTGGGGGAAGGGCTGTCGGATCACCGGCTGGTGTTGTGTCGTGTTTTGCATTTGCAGTCTTTTCCCTTAGGTGGCTCTTGCCACGTGGACACTGCAACAGAAACCACGGCGATAGCGAGCAATTAGTTGGTCACTCCCCGGATCTCCCTCCTGCCTACCTCCAGGCCCGCCGTCCTTCGACGCCATGGGAGGTGCGCTCTGGGCCAGCACTTACTACAGGAAGCTGAGGAATGACCGTCATGAAATCTGCCAGACTGCGGGCCAGGTATATCTTGATTTGGCTGCGTTTAAGCAAAACCACACAGCGGTGGAATATTTGCGTTATTTGTTTCTGCGAGCCCCATGTTTACCACTTGCCAGTTGAGCTAGCGACCAATTCGCAAGAAGTCGGTGTTTTTGTAGGTTGTCTCCCCTGACGGTCTGACGGCTGTGGCAAACACTTAGGTGATCCCCACCCAGGCTGGTAGCAAGGCCGAGGTCGGTTGCCTCATTTAGAGCCGAACCCAAATTCTGGAAATCAAGCAACCAAGCGGATCGCAGGAGTCTCCGTTTGTCACTCTGCTGGAAAAGTATTCATGGACTCTGCGTATGGCAGGGTGTCAAACGACATCTGGACAGAGGTGTTGTGCAGGAATGCTGTTTGTATACTTTTAGCTTCTGCGTAGTCAAGGCACGCTTAGCCACACCTGAGAGGCCGTCCCGCGTGCTTCTGCCGGGTGAAGCCATCGTCATGTTTTTGTGAAGCAACATTAAAAAAAGCAACAACGTCCTCACCAGAGGGGTAGGCCGACCTCACAGGAAGGAATGCTCCTTTTGTTGGGATACCTATGAGGCAGGCGTGCATTCACTGCTTCTGAAAGTTGAACACTCAAGTTGTTGGCTTGGGGTGAGGCCGTGCGGCCGTGTTTACCAGGCAATGGCATTCAACTCACAGGAGCCATGGCTGAGTCGCCCATACATTCCCAACTCATCGACAGGCCCGCCCTCCTTTGACAGCAGCATGGGAGGCGAAAGGGGCTGGGGGATGCAGGGAGGGGGTACGGAGGTTGTGGTTGACGCTCTGTAAGCTTGTTCTAGCCTTTGTGGATTTGACACAAAACATATATCATACATTCACAGTTTCCAGTATGGTGTGTCATTGGTGATCGTCGGCCATGCGTGCCATGATAACCATGCCATCTTGGAAGCAATACCTTCAGACTCTCACTCTCATCCCTTGTTTCACGGGTCTGCAGACAGTCAGAACATCAAAACGACCCCTGAGTGATCCCATGGCCATGCTGAGCTGTGCTTGCTCCCTGGGAATCTCCGGAATGGCCAGGCAGAGACCTCTCCACAGCCCCATGGAACCTGACAAGGTGTACACATTGCAGCCATCAGCATGAGACATTTTGCGTTCACCATCCCCGATTAGTCTCCAAAGTTGGTTTGATGATTGGTGGCAGGGAGTGGTGCCTTTCTTGCCATACATGTCTGCCAGGTCCACCATCTTTGGATTGCAAACGTCGTGGAACAACGCACAAGAATAAGCGCTGGTGACCAACGTTTGATTGTCATGACATTCATTGTGGTACCTAGGGGGGACGCACATGTATATATATATATATACAAACATATATATATATATATGTATATGTGGAGACTGTACGTCTATATGCACGCTCCTTGGGCACTTCGGCCTCTCGATTTGGTGCAGGTCCCGGCCCCGGGCCGCGGCCTCAGGGGCGTGGCCAGGTTGATTTGAGCCCTCAAGTGATCATTGCGTTTCGCTGGGCTTTTGGAGGCCGAAGAGGAGTTTGTTGTTCTGTTGTCGGAGTTGTATTTGGCGGCTGGTGCTTCCCGATGTTTGTGTTCTTTAATGCGGCATTCATCCGGGGTCAACATGATCCACTTGAACATTTGTTGGGTCAGTTTGTATCTTTGGCTAGCATGATCCCCTCCAGCAGAAGAATCGGCCACCGTGCCAACCATTTGTTCAGTGCTTGGGTGCGATTCGGTTTTGGTTGCGAGGTGGTTAGCTTCCGCAGCTTTGTCCTATGTCTCAGGCCTGGTGGCCCGCCCTTCGGTGGCGCAGGCGAGCTTCGGAGTGGAAAGCCAAAGAACGGGATCATACTGATGGATGTTTATGGCTTTATGGTCGTGCGTTGACTCCGGGTTGACGATGGCCATTCCAGCAACACGTGCTCACACTGGAAGACAGATGACATGCTGCTAAATTTGAGTTGATCCTGCTCTCCCAGGTTGCAAATGAGGTCCCGCCGCCAAATGTAGTCAATCTTTGAGTTTTGTCCCGCTCAGTGGCAGAGAGGCCTTCGTCTTTGGCATCTGTATTCTGGGGGTTGATTCCTCAGGGGTCAACAATACTTTCTTGCAAAGCATTGCACACTTCTTATGCGCTCAGCTGCAGGTCCACGTGTGGTTCCGCCACCCGACGCGTGCGGGCGCCCAGTCTGGGCTGGGTGCGGTGAGACACTAAGCAGGCGTCCGGATGTTCATGACCAGGATTTGCCGTGGTTGACCAGGCTGATGGACTCCTCACAACAAGTCCTGACCACTCGGCGGAGTTGTCAATGTTTGCTTGGCTGCGCACACAGCAACATACGATCCTGGTTGTTCTTGATTGCTAAAGCTGTCGTTGGTTTATTCATGATTTTTGAACCTGTCATTCCGCGCCTGCATGATGGTCACAGTTTGAAGGGGCACACAGCGAACGCTGCCAGGTGTTTGTGGTTTGAGGAAAGTAAATCACCTTATGCCAAGGGTGGTGGCATTGAACAAGAAAGCGACACACCGCGAACTGCCTGGGGTGGCCTTCCCAGCGTCTTTCAGGGCTTGGAACGGGGGGGGTGGGGGGGTGGTTGGGCTTTTGCTATTGGTGACCCTGAAGTCAGCGTCAGTGACTGACAGTGACTGCCAGCAATCCATCACCTTGATGCCCACTCGACCACCCGAGCAGTCTTCTGGCCTTACCCAGGTCCAGACCACGTTTGACTGTTCTAGTCCTAGTGGTTGTCAAAGCCAGAAGCTGGATTGCTTCCCCCATTGGGGGTGACTTTGATAGTTGTAAAACAATGAAGCCAATACTAGGAGAGGAAAGGAGGATGTGCTCTTCTTTTTGCGTTCGCAGAAGATGACCGTCCCAGGGCGATTTTATACAGCCAGGGAGCATGGCAATTTTTCTTTTTCAAGTGAACTTCTTGACCCCAGATGGTAGCTCTCGCTACAGTCAGTCTTTAGGACATGTCTTTTCGCGGGGGCAACGAGTGCACGTAGGAAGTCGCTGGGTTTGGCCGGATTGTTTGCTTGCCCTGCCAGACTTAGTGACTCAGGCGCCCGCCCACCAGCGTCTTCTCGCCGGCACCTCAGCCATTCGGAAGGGGCGGTCTGAACGGCGCTTTCCGGCTGTTGAAATTGGAAGGCCCTCTTGAGGCCCCTTCACACACAAGGTTCTACTGAGGATGTGGGTATGGGTCAACATGAAACCATCAGTGGACGCAGGTTTTAGTCCATGTTTCCACTTACCAAGGTTCCATTTTGGGTACCTGGCTTTGACCCACTCCAATGTGTGTGTGTGTGTGTGTGCGCGTGCGAGTTTGACAGGGGAACGCGGAAACTCGCAATTGCGTAAACCCGGGGCAGTTCCATGTGGAGGGCTTTGTTTTTGCGGGCAAGCCTGTGCGGGTCTACTTTGCCGTGTGCATTTGGTGCGTGTTCACTCCGGCAGGCGCCTGTGAATTTGACATACATCACCCACGCCGGCATTGGGAAATCCACTCGGTTTGGCGCAAACTGTGTGAGAACATGGACATCTTATAAGAATCCACTGACAACCTCATCTGCAAGGATCCAGCCACGTGACTCCATGTAGGTGTTATGCTAAAGCGGTTCAAGGACTATTGGCCGTGAGACACGAGACGGATATCCAAGAAAGTAGGAACACCGCATCCAGTCCGCGCTCAACATCGGCGACGGGTACTTTGAAAGATCAGAGAGGTTGTTCATGGTATGTAGTACTTGGGGGTAGTCAGTGTATCGTCCAAGCGTAGGGAATTGTGCAAGCAGCGATCCACATATGCCATGCCAGGAATATCCGGCCACCAGCGCCGCAGTCCGGATCCAAGAAACCAGCCAGTGCTTTTCAGGTTGTTGCTCCAGAATCCAGAAGAATTGAAGTCAGAGGAGGCAGGTCACAACCTTCCAGAAGCTGGCAAACTTCGTCCGTGTAAAGCCCTTATGGTTGGGTTCATTCTTGAAGGCCGCGGCCCCTCCTCCCGTTAAGGACCTTTGTTAACCATACCACATGATATATTGTGGGTGGAATGTAATCCAATAAAAGACTAAGTTGCAAAAAACCATGAATGGAAAGGAGTTTCATGTGCTCTTTCAAAGGACAGTTTTTCTTTTCGGATGCGGACGCCCTTCCGGGTCTGATGGACTTTGGATGGGAGGTAATCTTCAGTGCGCACGCTGGAGGCATCAAAGCGTCGAATGGTTTGAAGCAAAGTCTCAAGAGGGCCTCTGCAGGTGCAAAGTCTCAGCTCAGTGCATTCACTCTCGAGACAAGTTCCAGGTATTGGAGGATTGGTGCCTTGCACAAGAGAGAACTGGTTAGACTGGCACCCAAGTTTAGGCAAAAAAGCTTGATTTCAGAGAGATGCCAACCACAGCAAGGTATGGCGTGCACTGAGGGAGTCAGCTGAAGAATGCCTTTTCGGCCAACCATTGAGTCGAAGTATCCCATGCCAACTTGGGTATCTGGATTTCGGTGTGTGGTGTGTCCATGTGCATGCCGTGTGGCAGCGTGGAACGTGCCTGCCTTATTTAAGTTAATGCCCCACTCAGCCCTCGGCCAAGGCTCCAGGGAGCCTCTGCGAAAGGCACGGCCCCAAGAATTCGGAGTGACACGGTACGTCAGTAATATCCTGACCTGCATTGGCATTTTGGTGAGGAGATTGTCCTTGGTGAATGGGGCCCTTCGAAGAGGCATGCCTCGAAGGTGCGCCACCTATCAGAACCCAGGACATCATTCCAACTCGAATGTGACATTTTCGTGTTGCCGCCGTTTGTTGCTTTTCCCCTCCTTGTTGGCAACCTGCTGGGCCACGCGCTCTTTTCCAGGATGGTGGGTTGTTTGTGCGAAAACGAGGGTCATCCGCGATGCAAAGGGTGAAGGGTCAAAATCTTCCCCTCAAGTGGGCAAAGCCGTCCGGTGCTTTGCCTATGCTTGCCCTTCACGCGCTTAGAAGGAGCCGTTCAATCTCTGGGGGTGGGGGTATTGTAAACGCTTCGCGCTGGCCTCGGCCAGGGGCTATTTGATTTAGAGGCTTCCGTAGATCTCTGTTCTCGCTCCAGGGCCAGCAGCTGGCAAGTGCCTCGCCATCGGACGTGCGTGAAAGTATCGGCAAGGGGCTAGCAGGAGGCAGCGGAGAGCCAGCTGTATTACGCGAAGCGCCAAGAAGTGTTGAGCCAGGTTCAAAGGTTGGGCGCCAGCCGCGTGCGAAAGGTAAGCGGTTGGGGGCAGGTGAAGCTCCAAGAGCTGTGGGTGAGGGCTTTCAGGCATGCCCAAAAACAACTAGCTGGCCGCCGGGGCAGCTGGAGGCAGCTGGAGCATGGGTTTGCGCCATACGGCATGGGTCGCTGGGAAGATTCCTGGGGCCGAGGAAGTTTGCTTATTACTTTTAGTTGGGAGTTTCACACGCGGGTTAAGCGTGCGCTTTTTAGGTGGCATGCCTCGCCCACACGGGCCCTGCGGGGGCTGTGGGGGCTGCGGCGGCTACGGCGGCTGTGGCGGCTGGGAGCCCCAGACAGCCCGTGTTGACAGCCAGAGTTGCCAAATCGGTTGATGTAAGGCCCACACGTTCTGTGTGTTTACCGAAAGGGTGCACAGAGTTGACAGTGACTCAATCGTCATGGACCTTTCAAGGACACGTTCCGAAGTGCCCAGTCTGATCACAGGATGATTGGCTTGTCGGTCAGGCAGATTACTCAATCATCCTGTGCTTGTGATCAGTGCACAAACCTGCTTATGCACAATCTCTATTTGTTGCAGCATCGTAGTTCCACCGTGATATCTCAGCATATCTTAGAAAGCCTCGGATTGGGAACATTTTTTGCGTCAGAGCGCTGTAGAGAGCATGCGATAATTCCTGTGCCAGCATGCTTGACTTAGCGACAATATTGAATTCAGTCGTTCCAGATTTATGACCAGACGGGCTCAGATAGGAGAGGTTTTAGCGGAACAAAAAACAACTCAACAAAAGCTCAGAAAAAACTCAGCCAACAAACTCAACTGAAAACACAGACTCAAAAAAACACACACAAAAAACACAGCAGGAGACTCAAAAAACACAAGATAAACACAGCAGGAGACTCAAACAAAACACAACAAAAACACAGCAGGATATTTGAGTTTTTTTTGAGTTTTTTTGTGTTTTTTTTAGTTGCTTTTGTGTTTTCTGCGGTTGTTTTTGCATTTTGCTCCTCCCCCACCCCCGACCCCTCCCCGACCCCCAGAACCCTCCCAGACCCCTGCTTGAGTTGTTGCTTGAGTTTTTTTTGTTTTTGTTTTTAGTTTCTTTTGAGTCTTCCCAGATTCAGACTATTTCAGATTGAGTTTTTCGGATTGTTCTTTTTTTTGTGTGTTTTTGCAAATTCCTGGATTTGCGGCCTGTGTGGGCGAGATCAGGTCTTAATCCTAGATGTTTGATCTGAGGAACCCTAGAGTTAGAGTCACGACTGTTTCGGCATCGGTCACTTTGCCTTTCTGTTTGGGAGTCCATGGATGGCTGGCGCCCGGGTCAGCAGGGCAAGAAAGTTTTCACCAGTTCCGATGCCAGCAAACTTAGCCCAATGGCAGTTGGCCACCGCTACGTAATGCAAACACGTCTGCATGTTCATGGAAACGCTGGATCACAAAGTTGATACTGCCCTTGCCTCGTTACCCGCTTACGCTTACTCGCTTAAGCTCTTGCCCCCTTCCCCCCTCAGTTCTTTATTCTTTACCCACTTACCTCCTCAACCTCCTCAGCCTCCTCAACCTCCTTAGCCTCCTTCCCTTTGGCTCCTCAGCCCCACCCCTAAACCCTCCCCACAATATGATCTCCTCTCTCCTGTTGGCCTCTCAGGTTGCTGCGACTGGGGCCAGGTGCCGCAATGAATCAGGGCGAAATCATGCGGCCGCTAGTTGGCTCGTGGCGATTCTTAGCAGAACTCCTGAAGTATTGTCAGAGTTGCAGGCTTTCTCAGCATCAACACAGGAACAGGGGAAGTGCTGGCTTGTGCATGGCCATGCCAGGTCTAGAAGAGATGTCATCGGCAGGGGAGTAGTGCTTGTTTTCTAAACTAGACATATTTGCAAGAGCACGTGCCAAAGACACGGCAGGACTGGATCCTGTGAAGTTTGTGATGTTTGACAGGTTTCACCCCACCATGAAATGACAATCAGCAGCAAGCCTTTCCGCCGGTCATAGTAGCCGCTTAGTAGCCATTCGTCTTCTTGTGAATAAGTCTCGATGATTTTCATTGACAAGCTATTAGTTTCCACGGTGGGCTCAATGGTTCATGCAATGGCCTTTGGAGGAGTGTGGGTAAGGTGGTCCGTGTTTGCTTAAGCATTTGAGGCCCCTATGATCCCCATGGGAGTAAAGAGGCAATCCAGGCAACATGTGCAGGATGCGGTGTTCAAAGTCATGGTTTCTTTGTTTTTCAAGAGGCTGGCCAGCTCATTTACAGTAGCACGGACCCATGATGCCTCATTGTTTGATTTCGGGTCCCTCGGTTAGCGGAGAGTGGCTTGCTACACGGCCGCCAAGTCACTCGCTCCCCGTCTGCAGGGCGGCTGGGAGGAAGGCACGCAGCTTGCGGCTTGCGCGAGCGTGAGAGTAGGGCTTCTGGCAGGTGTTTTGGATTCTGTTTTATGTATTACGGTCATTGATACCAGTAGAGCCGGCAAAGCCGGTGGGCGGAAGTTTCAAAAATATAAAAGCTATAGTTCTCTTTCTCTTTCTTTTCTTGATTCTTTTTCTCCGTCATTCTTCGTTTCTTCCTTTCTTTCCTTCCTTCCTCCCTTCTTTCCTTCTTTCCTTCTTTCTATCTGTCTTTTCTTTCTTTCTTTCGTTTGCTTGTCTATCTATCTTTCTCTACCTATCTATACCTAACTACCTGTCTATCTATCTGCTTATTTCTCTATCTATCTTCTCTATCTATCTCTCTATCTCTCTATCTATATATCTACATATCTCTCTATCTATCTATCTATCCGTCTCTCTCTTTCTCTATCTGTGTCTCTATCCCTCTTTCTTTCTCTCTTTCTCTATCTCTCTTTCTTTCTATCTATTTATGTCTCTATCTCTTTCTCTATCTCTTTCTATCTGTCTATCTATCTATCTATCTATCTATCTATCTATCTATCTATCTATCTATCTATCCATCTATCTCTCCATCTATCTCCCGCGTATCTATCTATCTATCTATCTATCTATCTATCTATCTATCTATCTATCTATCTATCTATCTATCTATCTATCTATCTATCTATCTATCTCTCTATCTCTATCTCAGTATCTCTATCTCTCTATCTATCTATCCATCTGTATTTCTAATTATCTATAGATCTACCTATATATCCATCTCTCTATTTACCTCTTTCTCTACTTATCTATTTATCTACCTCTCTATCTATTTATCTATCTATATCTATCTATCTATCCATCTATCTATTTCTCTATCTATCTACCTATCTATGTATCTCTCTCTCTATCTATGTTTCTATCTATTTATCTATCTCTCTATCTATCTATCTACTTATCTATCTATCTCTTTTCTTTTTATTTATATATCTCTCTATCTCTCTCTCTCTCTGTATCTATCTATCTATCTATCTATCTATCTATCTATCTATCTATCTATCTATCTATCTCTCTCTCTCTCTCTCTCTCTATCTATCTATCTATCTATCTATCTATCTATCTATCTATCTATCTATCTCTCTCTCTCTCTCTGTCTATCTATCTATCTATCTATCTATCTATCTATCTATCTATCTATCTATCTATCTATCTATCTATCTATCTATCTATCTATCTCTCTACCTCTTTATCTCTCTCTCTCTCTGTTTATTTATCTATCTATCTTGCTCTCTCTCTCTCTCTATCTATCTATCTATCTATCTATCTATCTATCTATCTATCTATCTATCTATCTATCTATCTCTTTCTCTATCTCTTTCTATCTTGACTTCGCCTACTACTTTCGTACTTAAAAGTTGCGATTTTCGAGCCCCACTGCGAAAGTGGACTTCACGTACTACTTTCGTACTTGCGAAAGTGGACGCCGCGTACTACTTTCGTACTTAAAAGTTGCGATTTTCGAGCCCCAGCTACGAAAGTGGACTTCGCGTACTACTTTGATTTTCAAGCCCAGCTGCGAAAGTGGACTTCGCGCATACTTTCGTACTTAAAAGTTGCGATTTTTGAGCCCCGCTGCGAAAGTGGACTTCACGTACTACTTTCGTACTTGCGAAAGTGGACGCCGCGTACTACTTTCGTACTTAAAAGTTGCGATTTTCGAGCCCCAACTACGAAAGTGGACTTCGCGTACTACTTTGATTTTCAAGCCCAGCTGCGAAAGTGTACTTCGCGCACTACTTTCGTACTTAAAAGTTGCGATTTTCAATCCCCAGCTGCGAAAGTGGACTTCACGTACTACTTTCGTACTTGCGAAAGTGGACGCCGCGTACTACTTTCGTACTTAAAAGTTGCGATTTTCGAGCCCCAGCTACGAAAGTGGACTTCGCGTACTACTTTGATTTTCAAGCCCAGCTGCAAAAGTGGACTTCGCGCACTACTTTCGTACTTGAAAGTTGCGATTTTCAAGCCCCAGCGGCGAAAGTTGACTTCGCTTACTTACTACTTTCGCACTTAAAAGTTGCGATTTTTGATCCCCGGCTGCGAAAGTTGACCTTGCAAAAGTGCTGCGCCTGCCACGAAATCTGTACTTGACCTTGCGAAAGTGACGCGCCTGCCACGAATTTTGCACTTGACCTTGCGAAAGTGCTGCACCTGCCACGAATTCTGTACTTGACCTTGCGAAAGTGATGACCCTGCACGAAATCCGCGAAAATGCTGCCCCTGCCACGAAATCTGCATGCGCCGCCTTGCGCGTCCGTGCCAATGGGATTTGCGATGCGTCCGTGCCAGAAGTAAGAAAATGCCGCGCCTGTCACGAAATCTGCACTTGACCTTGCGAAAGTGATGCACCTGCCACGAAATCTGTACCCGACCTTGCCCTGCGCCTGCCACGAAATTTGAACCTTGCGAAAGTGCGCGCGTCCGTGCCAATGGTCCCGGCGCGATCCCGTCCCGATCCCGTCCCGAGCCCGTCCCGAGCCCGTCCCAAGCCCGTCCCCGTCAGACGCCGCGACCAGGGTAGCTTTCAGCCAGCCGGAGAAGCCAAAACCCGCAGAGGGTTGCACTTTTTGCAGATTTCTATTCCCCCGCCACACGTGTACGCACGTTTTCTCGCATGCATTCATTCTTTCTTCATCTCATCTTTGCACAGAGCTACCTTTCAATTAGTTTTCGTAACTCGGAAGTTTCCTTCTAAACTTCCTTTGATCATATTTTGTTTGCTCTGCCACGTTTGTGCAAGCTGGCTTGTTGAGATGCATGAGACGAAATCAGACAAGTTGCTCGGCAGCAGGGGTTTGACTGCTGGAAGAGCTCTGGCACTATCACTGATCGCTTTTGATCAACCCCGACAGGAATTGTGAACACTTTGCAAGCCGCAAATTGCAGCGACAGAAGCCGATGCCCGAGCATGTTGAGTGATTGCCTGTTTGCAAAGGGGACAGAGTTTCCACCATTGATATCGCTCAATATCTGAACCTTGTGTCTTCGGACAGTTTTCGTTCCCAATGTCATTTTTTGCATGGAATCGGCCCCCTTGAAGCGCATCTGCTCGACAAGAGGTATTTGGCGCAACTTGACGGGGAACATTGGGGAACTCTCAATTCCATTGCTGTTGGAGAATTGGATGCACCATTATGTTTGGTTTGTGGACCGCACTGTGGCTGGTGAGCTGACCTTTACTCAGACCAGAAGCTCAGGCGAACACCTCCCCCAACTCCCACATTTTGCAATGGTATCGCATGTTTGGTGAGCATTGGAAGGAACGCTGACATGTGGGGCAACCACCCTGCCAGGCTGGGACGGCTGGGATGGCAGCTGGGGCCCGGAGCTCTGGATGTCGGGGGCAGCGCGAGGTTCACTCTACTCTACACGTAGTGTTCCGATTGCTGACGAATCCGGCAAACAAGGTCAGCCATTGGTGTAGGTTCAAGTGCCAAGAACCATGATGAATAGTGCTGGCTACATGTCACTTGAACTCCACTGCTTGTCCTGCACAAACAATTTGTGCTCAGAAGCACCAGGTTCGTCCGTCAAATCGCGCGTCAAATTTACTGGAGTTTGTCGTGTTTGGAACAGATAGTCATGGAGTTTGCCTCAAGTGTCAGTTGGCTGCAATGGTCAAAGCCGATATCCAGCAAACAAATTGCTTTTGCTGATGGAAGCCTGAGGCCACACCGTTTTGATGTATTCCGGTAAAGGGCAACAGATGTCGGGACAAACTGGCAAGTTGCACCTAAGGTTCAGTTGTCCTGTGAGGTGTGACAAATGAAACACCTTTTTGCAGTTGGGAGGTTGCAAGCGCCAAGAAGTGGAGGACCGCCCCTTTGCATCCCTTCCCCTACTAGCAAATACTGACCCGCCCCCAACCCCCCCCCCCCGCGGCATTGCAGGGCAAAGGACAACAACATCGCGATATTATCCAAACCACAATCCGAAGCCAGCTACACATACGTGAACATCACTGAATGTAACAATTGACGCTGAAGATATTTCGAAGGGCTTCTTTCAATAGGGGAATGGATTAAACACCAGCACGTTGCCTATTCCTAGAGGAATCGATAGATTTTGCAGGCGGCAAGAATTTGATTTCGCTGTGGGAGTCAGAAGGGAAAGCGTGGTCATTCTGTGCCTTTAGTGCCATGGGCGCACCAAGGTGGCGGCTGGTAGGCGCAGGCCAGTGTTTTGCGCTTGGTTGGAGCGTGAGTTGTTGGATCTGCAGTCAGAAGGCACCATGCCGGATGCCGGATGTCGCCAACAAAGGGTTCCTTCTGAATGATTTGCACCCTGGTTTTCCTTGTGGCTGGCTTTGCCCGCGGCTTCCTGGATATATGAGTGTTTTTTCTGTGTGTGTGTGCGGAGTGACAGAATGCCCTGTCAATTTCGCAGCAGGGAGATCAGGCTTCCAGTGACTGACCTGATCCAACGAAGCTAGGTCACTGGAAGGGAAGTAGCTGAGGACGCTCAGCTACGTACCTGCTTCCCAACAAGGTCCCCTCTTTGCCCGCGGAAATCAAGCCGATACTCATCGTACTCGAGACTCATCAGTTGTACTCGAGACTCATCAGTTGTACTCGAAAGATTAGCACTCTCCATCTGGAGTTCAAGTGTGTACACCCCATTCGTGGGGAATCCTCGGGTGTACCCATTGTGTGACCCCGGGCCGGCTCTGTCGGAAAATTTGACCTCAACGTGCTTATCATAGAACAGCGGAATTTCACATTTAACCAGGAACGAGGTTTCACTAAAGGGAAGAAAGCCGTCAGTTCATAGTGACGTCTCACCGCCGCGGATAGCTGCCGATTTTCATTGCATGTCTTGACCATTGGTTGAACTTGTTGCTCGTATCACTGCGGTTGGAGATTGCTGACTTGTATTTGCTTCCCTTTTGCATGTCGAGTGATCATTGCAGTTGCGAGCTGCTAACTTGCCTTTGCATTGACTTGAACGTTTTCGAGCCTGAGTATCTCAAGGCGGAAGTGCGCAAATTTAGAGTCGGTTGCGTCACCATGTCTCGACGGGATGATCGTGATAGATCCAGGACTCGACGCAGACGTGATCGGAGCGGCAACATTGTCACGGATGAGTTCAGGTGAAAATTCGTCCGTCATGTGTCTGCGTTGCACCTGATTGACCTTGTACTTGCTTGTTCTTGCATTGCTTCTTGTGTGATTGGCTGACATGCTTGTATTCATGTCGCCGCCTTGTGGTAGATTTTGTTGGTTGCATCTCATCATGTTGGATGAACTTCGTCACTGCGGGATCTATGATGACGTAGCACAATGGCAGTCGCTGGACGACCTTCTGCACTCGTTGACCGTATTCTCTACGTGCTGGCAGTACTGTTTTCCTGGATCACCAGCCGCGCCACCGTTGTGCAATTTGGTTGCTACGGTTGAAGATTTCTTTTGGCACCAAACCATGATTTCTCTGCGGTTTTGCATGCCCGACATTGGTGTAATTTGGCATGAGCGCTACGTCGACAATCGTTTCATTCTCCTTCGTGACTCGGCCCCACACTCACCCGTGCTCATGAACTTTCTTTCCTTGGGATTTTATCGCTCATCGGTGACGCTTGAAGTTCAACATGACGACAAAGTCCTGGGTTACCGATGTGATTCTTCCTCCAGAACTATTACTCCGCAGCTACCTGATCATCCCTCCCAAATCAAAGGCATTCGGAGTGCTAATGTTCGGATGTTCACTTATTCTTCTTGGTCTTCTCGCTCATGGCTCATCATACGTGGTGCACAACCGGCGGTTCAACAACAACATGGGCTCGACGCTCTCAAACGCCTTTATGAGGCCAAAGGTTTCGAATCTCACCTTCTGCGGGATGTTCGCCGTAGACTTGATACAAAATCCGCATGTGCGCTGGTCATTCTGTCTCTTGTTATGCATGCTTGGGATTCCCACTTTGCTTGCATGTTGTTGCATTGTGCGTTGTTGGCATGTAGCTGGCTCAGAATCATGGCTGAATATATGGTCACTAGCCTTCTGCGTTCTGACGGCTCAGTACAAACTACGAGCCGCGTGACACTCGAGCACCTCCCCAACTTCATCAACGGCAATGAGATCCAAATGTTCATTCGGACTCACGGCATAGCGCACCAGCAAAGTGTGCAATCCCATGGCTTGTCACGTGACGTGCCAGCGCTCGCTGGGCAGCCCCGATCGCGTTCACCTCGGTCACGGATTCCGCGGATCCAGCTCACACCGGGCCCGCAAGGGCACTCGGATGAGGAAGAAGATTGGGGTGAATGGAGGAGTGATGGCAGACGCGCCCATAGTGATCAGAGGCGACCACGCTCGCCTCCGTTTCCTCCTGCTCGTGGCAGTCCTTCTGAGAACCGCATCGCGCTGGTGCCTCTCTCAGTTCGTCGGCAGGTACCAGACTTGGGGGTTCATCGCTTCAAGCTACGCACTGGGCACCGCATTGAGGAGATCGCCATCGAAATAAACGATGTCCTCTACTACACCTTGCCGTCGATTGCCGCCTTGGTATTTCCTGAACCGGACCTGTTGAAGAAATCTTGGGAGTCGGTCTACAGGAGCCTCATGCCGCACCGCCGCAGCATCATCGAAGATGAACAGAGGGTCAAGTCAATTTCAGAGTTTCCGTTTGCTCAGCCACCGCATGGAGTTCCCGGACGCTGGACGGAGCAAGTGCTCAGAGACATTTCGGACTACTTCCAGATCTCGCGGCGCTCACTACCTCAGCAACTCATCGTCCAGCTCGGCATTTGTGAGGAGAATTGGCCATATATCAGCAGAACCACGCGGACCTTTCACCACTTCTCCGCGGACAAAAAGAACTCGCAGAAGAACCTCTTTGGTATCATCTTCTCATTTGAGCCACGCCGATTGTTGCCCGACAAGCAACGGACTCAATCGCAGTCCACCTTTTTCTGGTCCCACAACACCAACGTACAGGCGGCCATGCAAATCCTGCGTGATGAGGAACTGATCCGACCTTCGAAGTGGCAAGAACACCCTTCCCCCAATCGTGAGTGCTCCAACTGGAACGAAGTCTGGTTGCCGCCGATGGGATTCTACTGCAGAGGCAGCCTCCAGTCTCAAGAAGCGGCAATCCAATCAGCTGCGCAGTTCGGCGGAATCCGGACGGACCGCCCGGTGTGCATTGGTGGCTCTGCTCGTCTCCGACAACAGCATTGCACTATACCCCGCGGTGGCGTGTACGCCGACATAGCAGCCTCCCACTACTATGACTGCATACATGCGAAGGATGGCAGGTGGAAACTAAGATCTTCGATCGCAGTGCCCAGCTACATGGGCATCTTCTGGTGAACCATGGTGGCTGGCCAGTACAAGATCGTTGCAACTGACCCGATGTGGTGAGTGCCATGTTTGTTTTTCATGATGGACATCATGACGCTTCTCTTCCGGCAAAACGCATTGTGTTGTCCGCGGCTCATGGTTGTCTTTGATGGTTCCTTTGCGGTCTTGCTTGCATGATTGGTTGTGTGCCTTCAGTTGCTTGCCGTCGCCGCTTTCAGTCATCTCCGGTGGATTTGGCCCTGGTTTTCTCGTCTTTCGGGGATTGTGATGGATCATGGTGATCTACTACGTGATTGTCGTCACATGCTACTCGCTATGTCATCGCAGATCAGTTTACTTCTGGCGGGACTCCAGCGTCTTGAGGGGCAACAGCGGCATCCACAGCCGCCCCCACCACCACCAATTCCGGAAGTTCATCCCCCGCCACTGCCGCCGCCGTCTACGGCGCCTCCGCACTTGCCAGCAACATCGGTCAGACCTGACCACATGGCAACGCCGGTCACTCTCGTGGCCACCACAGACAGCCGTGCGGAGCACCCTGCTCACGCACGTACGGTGAGTGTCAGCACTTCCTGGGAACACAGACGCCGGCGCAGATCTAGGCATCGAGAGCCGCACCGAAGACGATCCCGCAGCCATCATCGACGGCTCCCAGACCGTCCTGTGGAGGCAGTTCCTGTGGCTCACCGTCATGCTTATACTCCTAAGTATCCACCGGCAGTTAAAGCCATGCCGGCTTGCAGACCGTCTGGTCTGTCCTATGAACGATGACGGAGCAACAGCGATAAAAGTACGTCAGTGTTTGCTACACTCATGCTTGCATTTACCTTATCTCTGTCATGCCGCAGCATTATCGCCTTGCAGCTTTGCTTGAGTTGACCTTGTGGTTTGATCCGTTGCCATGCAGTTGTCAGCTGAGTTTGTGAATAACCTGGTGGCTGTGCTCAATGTCCTTGCTTCCCAAGTGGCGACAGCTTTGGACACCCTGAACTTTGCCTTGATGACGGAGCGTGGTCGTCCAACTGATGCGGTGGTGACCCCAAGAGCACCAAGAAACTCCAGACATGGGTTGCGGCCCCGCATCATCACGGGACCGCTGGACACGTCATCTACCTGGTACATACCGGCTTTGTCCCCACCTAGAGCGACACACCGTGATGCTAGTGACCACAATCCGGGAGCTCGGCCCGAATCGATGTTGGATCGACTACCACCTCCTCGTCCCCTTGCTCCGTTCGCGACACACGGTGGACGAGAGCCAGGACAAACGACGCCTACGACACCTGATTCGGATTCTGATGGTTCGATACGTCCGCATCCAGGTGCATCGTCGTTCCGGCCGTCCCCGACGGTGGTCCATGGTCCTCGAGAACTTCTACGAGAATTTACCATTGCACTTCGCAATGCGTACCGTGAACCTTTCACGACATGGACACAAGGGGAGCTGGATGAAATGGTAAGACGGTCTATCAACAACTTGAAGCTCGCGGCTAGCAACATGCCCGACACATGCAGCAACGACCATTGATGGACCAAATGATGAGCAGCGGCGGTGTGTCCGATTCGAGTTGTTGATCACATGATGTTGGCTTCCTCGCATGTGACTCAATCTTACTTGTCGGGTGGTGTGATGTTGTTGACATGCAGTGATGTCTTGCCTGAGTTGCTCATGTCGGAACAACTTGTATAGACGTACATTACCTGGACCCATGGAGCGCAGCCGACGTGGTTACAATTTCATGGACCCGGGGCTCTACTCGACAGACCCAGTCGGCTAACTACGTCACCTCCGCCCCCGCCAAGTTTGCCATTGCTTCTTCCACCTCCTCCTCCACCACCACCACCACCACCGGTGATTATTCACCCACAAT